GGTTCGAATCTCGGGTTGTTATTCGCCTAGACCAACCAAGCCTTCCATCCCTCCGGGGTCGGTTAATTGGTACCAGACTCGTCTGTGAAAATAGAACCACTGACTTGTGATTCTGGAAATCGAATGCGTGGGCGATCTCTCAGACGGGATTGTTCCACGCCACAATACTTAATCCTTTAGACATCATCCTTTAAGCGCAGTTAGATGCTCTTGTCGAACACTTCGCACAGTGTGAGAAGATATCCAACTTCAATTCTTTCCAACCGTTCTTCAGTCCTGCAGTCAAAGACTTCCAATTGGAATGCAAAACTCGACAGATTCCCTTTTCAATTGGAAACAAAACGTAGACGTTGAGTAAGCTTGGAATTGGCGAAACACGATGACCATAACTCGGGGCCAGTGAGGCCGCCTAGATTGTAGCGGCACCTTGAGCGAGCTTGGCTTTGGGGGTTGGAGTGTGCCGCCCTGCCAAAAGCAACATGGGCTGTTTCAGAAGGAAAATCGATTCAAAGCATAAATACATCAATCAGTATTTCTATTAGGCACATGTCGTCGACAGTCTTCAGACCGGCAATGACAAAAACCATAGTCTCCCCATTGCCTGGACTTCTCTCCACATCTTATCTCTTTGCTCTTCTTATGACAATTTTTCTCTAGAGATAGCGCTTTCGACGTTTCTAGACAGAATGCGATCATTTTGGGTTGAGAGAAGGCTCTATTGGATGTAAATTTACTTGTGAGAGAAAACGATGGACGATGAAGGGGGTCAACAACTTCCGCATTGCTTGATTCGAAACTCTGTCTGCATTAGGAATGAAATGGCATTCAAAGAAATGGTAATAAAGCTTCTCTCGACAATCTGAGCAACAAGAAATTTCACGATGATCTAAAGCTTCTTCCACACGAATTATCCACTGAATGAGCCATGAACTAGGCAAATTACAAGAAAATCGCACTGTTCATCTACTTACAAGTGGATGGGGTAAAATTAATGAATTATTTTCGAATTTAAAGTTCTGAAGAAACCCCAATAACTCAAATCTGTTTCAAAAAATGAAGGCACTGACTTTTACAGGGTGCCGGTAAGGGACACGGTGTACAAATCAGCGCCCTTATTCTCCCAGACGCATATGGTTTCAGTTAACCTACCCCGGAGGAAAGGCTCGCTTGCCTGTCCTGGACGGAATTGATATTGTATCGCGCAAGTGTGCAATTACGCCACTTATAACCACTACACCAGCACCTCTTTGTACTCATTACTATTGACAAAAGGAACATTGGCCAAGGTGCTTACAATAGGTGCTTATGATCGACTTATGTCAGCACAAGACAGCTTTACCCACAACAACATTTCTTTGTCCATCTTCGCGAGGGACCGCCTGAGATCACTCCTAACCCATGCGATGAATGCAGATTGCCAAGAAGGTCCAGTTTTGGGAAGACTTCATACAATAATACCAAACTTCTAGAGAATTTCTAAGAAATGTGAGTTACTTCTCAATTTGCACTCAGGCTAATTCCTCAAGTTCAGGTAAGGCTTTAAGTTCATGCCATAGCCTAAGACCTGGTACAATGCTAATATGAGACTATGTTGAAGGTTCTAACAAATAAACACCGACCGGTTGGATTCCCTCACCCTTGAACATTAGTGGGTTAGCTTAGCGGTTTCATCCCGATCTACTGGTCGCTAACCTTTTTACTGATGACACTGATTGGAAGGAACTATGAATAACTTTCGGGGATATTTCTCCATGCTTCCCTATCTATGGATATGAAATCCATGAATCTTTGAAAGTGCTTTCGAAATGATCTACAACGCCCTGAATGTCAACTACCACGGCATTGAGGGGTTACGGTAGTGCTAGGTTGTACGCAATTACACGCAGTACGTGTTTAGAAGTAATTCTAATTCTGAGCGTGCTCAGCAGTGCTGACGTGTACTTTATTCGAGGAGAACACGCCCAACTCCCTTTGTGATGTGCTCAATCTTCCTTTTTTCGTCTACCGCTAGTGAATTTCTAGCAAACTTCTTATGATTCAGTGGAGAAAGTCTCTCCTTCCCATCACTTTTGACTACGAAATTTCTTGTTATCTGTAGTTTTTATTTACCCTCTCTTACTTATTCGTCACCTCTGATAATTTCAATGAATTCGCTTACGTCTACTTTTCGAATATGGCTACGGCTTGTTCCGTGCTTTAACTGTTACAAGGGACTATTGCTGATTAACCAAGATTTTTGCTCTACAACTATCGATCAGGAAACTTATAAGTTGTTTCTGAATTTTGTCCTCCGTTTGTTTGATAGATACTATATTCCAAGGGGAAATGAACTTTCATTACCGCCCATCTCCTTCCTACATTATCCCTGGCTAAACGATCTGAAGCCCTCAGTTTCTTCTATGTTGTACAAATCATTTTTCGATGTTTTATGGTACGAATCAATAGTAAACAGAGCTACACGCGTTCTTGAAAAGTGACTGAAGCCGTTCACTTGAGAGGTGTTATATAGAGAACATTTCTCGCAACAGGAATGATTTATTGAGGCACCATTACCGACTGGTGGGGGTAGTGGACCTGGATGTCACCCGACCACTATAGGTTAGATGGGTCTCCTTGAGGTGTCTGATCGTCAACTACAATTTTTAGTTATTCGTAAATGTTCGATAAGTCCTAAGCCCTTCTTGGTTGTTCGTGATGACTGTGTCGCTCTCTCTGTACTAGTTAAGGCGCGTGAAGTGGCACGCATGAATAAATGAATAAATAAAATTTATTTCTCGATAACTCTCGGTACTATCGATTTTATTTGAGCAGTTGTTCAGCATTGATCATGACCGCTTCTGCTCTCCTTTGGTCTTTTTGCCTGACTCTTCGTCGGATTCTAGAGAGTCAAAAACATAGGAGATCTAAACTGTTTCAAACTTCAAAACAATTGTTGCGAGACCGAATGTATCTACAACGGACAACAATACCTACACAAACACTTTATAGACTCGCCCAAAGATAGCGCAGCGATTTCTGGTAACTTATTGTTAATTTGCGTGTTGGCGAATAAGGAGATAAGGCTGAATCGTTAAACGAATGAGGGCAGTATGACACTTTGCTCAACTCCGTGCAAACATTCAATTTGAAAGTTAATTTTTCTCGATCTTTTTTGTATTGAATAGTCCTCGTTTTAATAAGCCCTATGGCTAGATCACATATTAAACATTTTTCTTTCAGATGACGGCGAAATATGATCACATAGACGATCCCACAGCTAAATCGAAAGCCGAATCTCAGCATGTCAATGTTTTAACTCGATCTCATCTGGCTGAAGCTTTTCATTTTTTCATATGTGCTGGTGGTATTCTTCTATGTTATTTCTATTTTGGAATTCAACAGGAAAGGATGTGAGTTAATTTGGAGTGTCTTTTCTATTCAGACATTAGAGATCCTTTGACGGGTGTTCTGGTGCTCCAACTTTCATCAAAAGCAAGTTTGACTGCGGCTCTATGTCACTCTTCGGGTAATCAAAACATCTGCCCAATTGTTAGCCTTATGTATTGATTCCTTTTTCTCAGTGAATGTCCACTTCATATTCACATCATTATTTCAAGAATTTTTCTTTTACTGCTGGGTTCACAGCTCAGCCCCTCGACTGGTTGTGAGTTGAATATGGCTAGCAACAAGTTACTTCGCCAAATACGTGACAAGCCTCTTACACGGTGGGGAGTTGTTGGTAATTCAAAATGTTTGTCAAAACGACACGATGTGCTGAAAACATCTGCTACGGGCGTTTGTGTTTTTTAAACACAAGCTATTCTATCATGTTTTCAGCATGAGGGTAGTTGCGATCAGTAGTGGTTAGAATACAATGCTTTGTTTTACGGTGGAATGAGTTTTCGAAAACCGAACACTGAGTGATAATTAATGGTGAGGGAGCAAGTAAAATACCAATTCTNGCTCCGCTCTTATTCCCTCAGAAAATCTTAGATTCACAATCTTCATTAGCGATTTAAAAATATATTGAGAAGCTCAATTAGCAATAGAAACTAATCGTTTTTCTCTTCAATGCCATTAAAAGAGCTTCATTTCAGTGTGCAAGGAAAATATGACAACGGCGAAAAATTTACTTACACCCAAGCTTTGGTGTTTTTCTTGTGTGCTGCAAATACGATTTTTGCTTGGGTTCTTCGTCCAAAGCATGACATTGATACGGTGCCAACGAAAATGTACGGCGTTTGTGCCGCTAGCTATCTTGGTGCCATGATCTGCAGTAATCAGGCTCTTCAGTATCTACCGTATCCGACCCAGGTTGGTAAATGTTCCTTTCAAATAAAATAATGCATGTTTCCAAGCATATTTCTACTTGATCATATTCAGGTTCTGGCAAAATCGTGCAAACCCATTCCTGTTTTGGTTTTCGGCGTTTTGTTTGCAGGAAAGAAATACTCATGGCGTAAATATGTATTTATTGTTATGATTGTGATAGGGGTGGCTATGTTTCTCTATAAGGATAAGAAGTCATCTGTAGAAAGACAAATAGGAATCGGCGAATTTCTATTGGTGAGTCGTTGCGACACCAGATTTTAGGCGTTTTATTTTTTTTNNNTTTTTTTTCTGTTATGTTGTTGCACGCGCTGAATCTGTAACCCTTTTCTGATCTCACTTTGTTGAAGCTCTCTTTGGGTCGGCGTATAACGTCATATTTAGCTGACAAATATTCGTAACAATGACAGTATTTAAGACGATAGGTCACACGGAAAGTTTCAGACCTGCCTTTGGTGTAATTCACTTAGTTACCCATGGCTAAGATGGGGTTTAAATATTCCTATTATTCTATTGGGTTTCACATTATAATAGTGAGTCCCCAATACAATATGGAAAGGATGCCAACGTGTTCCATTGCTTGCGCTAATCATCTTTCATTTTTTGTCCTACTCTGTTTTGCCCGAATTTCGTGCTAGTTAGCATCGCCGCTCCTTTTTATTCAATTGTTGCTCTCCTGCTCTGTCAGAAATGAGCCTGTCTGTGTGCATTCCTCGAATCAACCAGGACGTTCCTTCTCACTAGTCGCCACTTTCGTGGATAGCATTGAAGGCTCAGTTCCAATCTTGCTATCCACGAAGTGGCAGCTAATGCGAAGGAACCTATCATTCTACAGTCGTAGCTGCTATGCAGGAGCCATGCGTGATACCTCGCGCTCGTCAGTTGTCCTCCAGCTCAACTGATGGTTCCGCTCCCTCTTTCATTCTCTGTTTAACGTTATCTCTTTGAACTTTATTTAGTGGAAATTAGCTTCTGGAAGGTTTTCTCGGGTGCTACGCAGGTTCTGAATGCGCGAGAGCTCGGGGAATCTTAACTCCCATTTCCATCCTATCGCTGGTCAGACCTGAAACTTATTAGAATTCCTTATGGCCAGTACTCGAGCCTAAGCAATAACATTTGCAACTAATGTCGGTCGATAAAAGCAAGTGAAAATGGTCATTCTGTCTACACAGCCATGATTTTAGTTGTTATCTTTAACCATGGATGGAACAACAACTTCTATTCAAGATAGAATCAACAAGAGCTATAAGCGCAGCACTCTGAGTATGATGTTCTTCATGAATTATTTCTCAACGATATATCTTATGATTGGGTGAGTTTTTATCCACATTTCTTAGTTGCCAACATTCATACGCCCATATATTCCAATGATATTGCAGTTTATTCGTTACCGGTGAACTTTTCGAATTCATTGGATTCGTTCAACGGCATCCATATGTTTTGTTTGAACTATGTTTTGTAGCTGCTTCAAGTTGTGGAGGACAGGTAAATATTGTTGCTTTATGCACAGTTTCGTGCATCCACCAGCCAGGGTATATGCAATTTCTTTAGTGCCACTGCCCCCTTTCGTAAGGGGTAGATTACCAATATCTTTTGAGAGTGTAAATCTTTTTTTTTTTATGAAAAGAACATATTATGACATGGGTATGCCATTTTGAGCAAAACTCGAAAGTATACTTGAATTCTATATTAATTCCTCGATGACTAACATTGGGAGAATCTCAGGAAAGACTTCGGTTTCGACCATGTAGGTTTGAGTCTAGTTGGGGTTTGATTGGAGTAAAGGTGCNTCAGGGCACGCAGGTGATCGAAAGGAGAACCGCTCACCGTAGCTTTGTGGATTCTCCGGAACCACCCAGCGAGTGATGGTACCAATCGACCAATGAAGAATCGACAAGTATTTGATAGATG